AGGGCAAGGCCGCCCCCCCGCTTCCCCTCCCCCTCCCCTTGAGGCGCGGGGGGGCGTCCCTCCCCCTCCCGTTCGTGGCCGCTCACCATGGCGACGGGGAGGGGCAGTGGCGCGGCGACCTCTCCGCTCCGGCGGGCTGCGCTCCGTCTCCCTCCGCCCGGGGCTGAGCCGTGGCTGAGGGCCGCCCCCTCCCCCTTCAACGGCCGCGCTCTCCGCCTTTCAACGGAAACCGGGGGAGCCCAACGGACGTCCTAGAGGGGGGGGGGCTTCTTTTCCGACCCGGTCACTCCCTCGCACTTGTATCCCTCCGCCAACGAGTCCCGACACCCGCCCGCTCTTCTTCCCGGCACCTCAAGAAGCTCAAAAAAAACCCCTCACAGCGCGGCCCGTTGTGTCCGTTGCGCCACGCCCTTTAAATAGCCGCCGGCCGCGCCCCCTCTGCCGTCACGTGGACGGCGACGTCGCTTCTTATTGGCCCAGCCTCACCTGCATTGCGTCAGGGGAGGCTGCTTAAAGGGGAAGGGAGTGGTGGGTTTGCGTGTGTGTGGGCCGACCGTTTGGGGTGGAAATTGGGTTAATAGTACAGGGGCCCCGCCCGTGCGCGAGAAGGGCCGGAGGATTAAAAGGGGCGGGCGAGTGACGTCAGGGAAGGAAATGATGTCGGCTGATTTTTGACAGAGGGATTTAAAGGGGAGGCCAAGAAAGGCAAAAATGGCAATTCAAGGGGGCAAAGCAAGAGAGTTTAATCTTGGCGTTACCAAATGCAGGGAGGGAAAAAAAATGACTAAATCGAGGCTGTCATTCTTTGAAGCAAACCCAGAGAGGACAAGGCTTTCAGGAAAAGCCAAGTTAAATAAATAAATTAATGCTAGGAATAATTGAAGGCAGCAGGAAAAGAGGAGGGCGAAATACGAGATGGATTCACTCAGTCAAAGAAGCCATGCTTTGAGTTTGCAAGAGCTGAGCACGGCCGTTAATTCACTTTGTTTGAAGGGTCTCTGTAAGTTGAAAGCAACCTAGCGGCACAGAACAAGTGTAGCACTTGCTTTCCTCCCATGACTTAGATAAAGTTTCCCCTTGACATTGAATCCAGTCATGTCCGACTCGAGGGCGGGGTGCTCATCCCCCTCTCCAAGCCATAGAGCCAGCGTTTGTCCGAAGACAGTTTCCGTGGTCACGTGGCCAGCGCAACTAGACACGGAACACCCTGACCTTCCCACCGTGGTGGTCCCTATTTATCGACTCACATGTTTACATGCTTTCGATCACGTGGATTCGATCTTCACGATGACAGGTCTTCTGACCTTGCAGCACAGAGGCTTCTGCGGTTTAACTCGCAGCCCCACCACGTCCCTGACTTACTGAGCATTTAAAAATTAATTAAAATGTACCTACAGGGTTATGCAAGTTAACGGTGCCAGTAAAGGACACAGAACAGTTATGTTGGCCTACAACCCCCACCATTGCCAGCTAGCACATGTATTGATCCGAACATTGACACATCAAATTCAAACAGCTCCCATTCATTTGAATGGGCCATAATGCCTGAAAGCTGGAACCTCAAGCCATAGTAATTTCCCTGCATTTACCTTCCATAAGCCCTCTGGGCTCAGAGTGGCTTGCACCGGGCTCTTGGATTTGAAGCGAGATCTACCCCAAATCTATATGTTTAGACAAGATCCCTTTTAGAATTGAGAGAGAAATCTGGTAATACAGACACATAATTACGTGTCCCACCTTAACAAAACCTGGAAGAATCTAACTCTACATCTATCCAGGTTAAAGCTGATGGACGTTTTTGTTTTGCATCAATAATAAGAATGCTATATTCAGCCAGGCAGAGGAAAATGCACCCTTCTAAACATCTCTGTGGTTTTCCGATGTATTCTTTGCTTGACCCCACACATTTCCTACCCGATCTTCAATGACAGCACAGCACAAGAGTCTCAGAAATGGGACATCCTGTGCTCCGTTCCAAGTTACATTCATGGGCAGTATCAACAAGGAATGGACCGTAGGACCTCCGTACCCACAGGAGATTGGCTCTAAGCCCCTCCTGCGGATGCTGAAAAACATAGATTATAGCTAATACAATTATAATAGTGAATGCTGGTCTCTAGCTTCTTTTAGCAGCCACTTTGAGTAACTTCATAATTAAAACTACATATTTAGGGGATATTTCTTTTAATATTTTTAGTATTTTCAGACTGTGGATAAGTGAATCAGCAGATACTCATCCCATGGATACTGGGGCCCTACTGTAAATACATCTCAGGACATTACCCACCTTAGCAGATAGCTCATTTCTATTTCTGCAGTTAATACCTGTGACCCCCCCCCTTCCATCCCATTTATTAAAGTGTTACTCCAACTTGGTTATACGATCACAAGGAAGAAGAAATATAAATGAAGCAGAAGGCCTGGTCCCATCAGCGTCCTCTCGATCGCATGCTACTGTGTGGCAGTGAGATTTAAGGAGCCCATTAGTGGAGGTGCTGTAGATAAACACACACAGACCGCCACAGTGAACAGAACACCACAGAAGTCAGAAAAAAAGAGAGAGAAGTTTATTAAACTTCTTCCGGGTCAGTTTTCAAACATACCGAAGAACGGACACACACACACATACACAATGCATCTGTAGGAATACCCACTTAGGTCAGCACACAGGCGAAGAAGGGGTTGGGGGTCTGTAGTTGGAACAGAATACACAGCTGTGATCACTGAGTGTTGGGGGAAAGAATGGCCAAGGGGTAACACACACATACACCTGTCTGAAAATTACTGAGAAGTTGATTTTCAGTACTATATCCATGGACCCCCACCCATATAAGCATTAGTGTATTTTTAGATTGGTGGGGGCACGGTAGTATCATTAGAGGCAAGGTTAAATATCTCCAAAACCATCCAGCTGTTCTGGAATCCAACTCCTGCCAGCCTTGTCTAGCTTGGCAAATAATCTGGAAGTCCCACAACATCTGGACAGGCAAGGCGTTGTGCATTCACCACCCGGGTTTAGTGTCTGCTGCTCCACACAATACTGGCAATACATCAAGGAATGTAGAAGGCAGGAGGAAGCAAACAGACAGGAAGTCCAAGATGAGAGAGGAGGGAGAGAAGAAAAGGGTGCTGAAGCTGCATCCTTTAAAGGAGTCGAAGGCGGTCTCCTTCCCGCAAGGGTAGCGCAAGGCCCCCTTTGGTCCCCTCCGCAGGAGTGCAGCAGAGAAGGAAACTGAAGTCGGGCTAGGCCACGTATATGAAACTAAGCATCAGCCCTTCGGAAGGGCCCAGCTTGAGATTCTGCAAGGCCAGCTGCTGCTTCTCCCGGCTCGGATTCGTGCTGAGCTCCACCGTCATGTCTGGAGGGAGGTCGGGATGCGTGATGGAGACGGTGGTCTCCTGGGAAGCAAAGTTGAGCACCACGAGGAAGCGCTTGTTCTGATCCCAGACCCGGAGGTAGGCAAAGACGCTCGGGCTGCTGCTGTGGGTCATGAAGTACTCGCCATGGAGGAGGGACCGTTCTTTCCCCCGCAACTCGCTCAGCTGCTGGAAGAAGGTCAAGACCGAATCCTTGTTGCCGCTCTGTAGCTATATTTCGGAGGCAGTTGAGAGAAAGAAAGGGGGAAGGCAAGGAAAAAAAAAAGAATTAGGATTGCTGGGCATTTCTAGCACTCTTCAGTATATCAAGTGAGCTGGTCTCCGGCTCTCTGAAAGACCACACCCTCCGCATCTGAGCCTGCCCAAGGGAAGCTTCTCTATAAGCCCCACCGTGCGGTCGCTGCCCGCAAACCATCAAAGTCTCTCCCACGGGAGGCCAGGCTGGCCACCGCTTTGCTCTCTTCCGGCTGGCAGTTGGAAACATTTCTTTTCAGGCCCTTTGCGTGCCCCCCCACTGTCCTACGAAGACAGCTTTTAAATCTGATTTCTTAAAAATATTCAGGGTTTTTAAAAAAAAAGTAGGGTGTGCTTTTTACAGTAATTGGTTTTAAATTCTACCTGGAAAATGCCATAAAAAGGGCTGCCATAGGTCAGAATTGACTTGATAGCATTTTTTTATTACTATTACTATTACTATTACTATTACTATTACTATTACTATTACTATTACTATTACTATTACTATTACTATTACTATTACTACGCTCTACAACGATTTTGCTGGAACGGATTATCCTCGTCAAGTGAGGCACCACTGTATTAGTATTAGCATTGCTATTAGTATTAGTATTAGTATTATTAAAAACACCAGGCACAATCAAAATTCTAAAAACTCTGACTGGTATTATAACAGATACAAGTTTTCCTTTTAATGTCTTTAGTATTTTCACACCGTGGATAATTGAATCAGCAGATACTGATCCTGTGGACACTGGGGTCTTAAGTATCTGTTCATTATCAGAGCAGTATGTATGCTGTTCCTAATACTACCATCTTTTGTAGATGGTATACATAAAATAAATAATACGGTAGTCCATAAATCAGTGTCAAATGGATTTTCAGTCCTCCAGATGTTCGTGTCTGTCACTCCTACAGTCCTCAGCCATTATCTACGCTGGCTGGGGCTTTGAGGAACTGACATCCAAAACATCTGAAGGGCCAAATAATCCCTTACTCCCCGACCCATTTTTTGGGGAGTGGAGCAAGGGTGACTTGCTCAGGGAGAGTGCTCACTGCCCAGGTTTCTGTACAAGCCACGAGTCTGGACATGATTCTCAGCTGAATGATGGCTAGGTCAGATATTAAAAGGGTAGTATAATCCATAAAATCAGTTTGCAGCACATACATTAAATACCCAGAGAAAGGGATGACTCTCCATCTTCTAAAGGAAATTAATCCAACCCTCATTTTAAAAAAAGCCCCACTGAAAAAAAAAATCTGAAGATATAATGATTTGCTTAACGGATGAATTGTCACAAGGTGATGCGAACATCTGGAAATACTCTGTGCCAAGCTAAGCGATTATTTTTTGCCCACCTCTCTTGTCCCAGTTACCTTCCCAGCTTCTCACCTGTACTGTAACATTGCTGGCTGGCTCGCTGCTTGGCTGCTGGGCCGCTTTCGAGAATCCGAAATTTGCTGAATCGTCCCACTGCATGCGTGGGACAGAAGAGGCGGCAGGCTGGATGGACAGGTAAGACAGAGTGACAGTTAGCAGGGCTGCGACTTGCAACCGACACACATAATCACAGGCCTAATCAGATCCCTCCGTAACAACCACGATCAGCTCCCACACTCCCCCTCCAAGTCCTTCTCTGTCGACCGAGCCTTTCTGGCATCACCCCCTACCTTTCCTGGCAGATCTCGCAGCCCAATCTCGTCCCCGTAGTCCGTGAAAGGAGTCCCCGGTAGCGTGTACAACAGCATGTGGTAGAGGCGAAGAAGTTGCTCGCCCATCGAATCCGCCAACTCTCCGACACTGGGTCTCGCCACCTGCAGAAGGAAAGGTGGTTAGCATCCATGCAAAATATTAAGTACTATACAAGTAGTACAGCAGGACCCCCTCTGCTGCGGGATCAGTATCCACTGATTCACTTATCCACGGTTTGAAAATATAAAAAATTTTTAAAAGAAAAATCCCACAAATTTACATTCCTAAAGATGAAATTATCAGAACTGGCCAATAGAAGGAGATAGAGATCATGTTATATATAAGGGATGAGGGTTGTGGAGGCACCAGCAGAGGACGTTCAAGGCCCTGGACTTCACGCCATGAAGGCAACAGGGTACCTGCTAGATGTATTCGATTACAATTTCCATTGGCCCGACTCAGGAAAGCTGTCGGTGGGGGCTAATGGGTGTTGCAGTCCCAAACAGTTCCGATTTGCTTACTTCTGACCTACACCGGCTAGCTGTCTTTCTTCTTTTACTTCCCACTGCCCTTCCTTTACTTCCTGCTGCCTAATATTGCTGCCACTGGCTCTATCCCAGGAATTCAATGGAGAAAGAAGGCGCAAACTCCCCATCGCTCCCATCAAAGCTGCTGTGATTCTGTTGGCCGCAGAAGCAGCAATAGTTTATTGTTTTCGGTAACAGCAGAATGTAGGTCCCTTTCCCCCCTGTGGGTTCTGGGTCAGGGCGCGTCCTGTCCTTGCCCCACAGAATCCCTTGGAGATGCTGGGATGCAACCTGAAAATTCCCTCCACCGCGCCAACCCACGGTTCCACGATGCCCTTTCCTAAGGGGCACCGGGCGGGGGGGGGAGAAATCCAGGAGGATGGACTGAGAAACTACAGCAGGTGAAAATGGCTTCTTAGGATCTGAGAGTTTTAAGAGTGAAGAGGAAGGAGATCCAAGCACAGAATCCAAGCACGCACACCCCAGAGACCTAAGCACACAACCCCACAGCCCTCCAAACCCCCGTCTGATCCCAAGGCTTCAAACTCACACTCCATCCAGCCCACTTGGCCTCTCGGATGTAGCTGTTGATCAAACTGGCAATCGCGTTTCCCTGGCTTCCATCTTCAGTGGCTTCCGCCACTCCTGCAAGGTAGTCGCTGGTCAGCACATCCACACTGACGGTCTGATTGAGAAGAGCCAAGATGCCCTGGGCATCCTGCCTCTGCGTCACAGCGATCAACACCCTGGTGGGAAGAGAAGCAAGAATGGGTTTGATTTTCCACCCAAGGTCAGGTAAGCGTGAGCAGGGCTATGGGAGCGTGGCACAATAGCTGCCTTCGTATGAAGAATTAAAATTAGCACCGGACACTCTGAACATTCAAGCTTTCACTCAAAACCAACTGCAGAATTATGCAAAGAAATGTTGGTTCTGACGGTCATGGGATTCATCGTTTGAATGTAAGAAGAGCTGCACCGGATCAGGCCAAAGACGGATCCAGCTCAGACGCTTTGTTCTCAAAGTTGACAAACTAGGAAGGGCAAACCCAGAATATAAATGCAACATCACCATGCTGTCACTCTCTCCAGTCCTCAATGGATGGGGGGGGGGCGCCCTACTGTCCACTTTTTTAGCTTTCCACTTTTATTTCATGTGCATCACCACAGATAAAAGGCGCAGCTTATTAGATCCAAGGGGGAACATTCTAGGGTGGTTTTTAGGAGGGAACATGCGAGACCGGCTCTCCCAACTTTTTAGTCCTCCAGCTCTGTTCAGACTACAACTCTCATCATCTCCAGGCCTGGTTAGGTGTGTTCCAAGAAAGCTGCAAGGTTTGAGTACGGTTGTGGATACCCACCTCCCGTGGTCGTCTACGTTGTACTGTTCCGTCAGATTCTTCCAGTCGCTCAGGATCTGGGTGCCCTGAAAAAGAAGAACATGTTGGATGAGAAGGACTGGGGTGACAGAACTTGGACGCCTCCACCCAGTCACATAATAATATCATAATCATGGGCTGTTAAGTCAATTCTGACTTATGGCGACCCTTTTTCAGGGATTTCCAGGGAGAGAACATTCAGATGTGCTTTACCTTTATCTTCCTCTAGGGGCACTGTGGGACTGTGCAGCTTGCCCAAGGCTACCCAGGCTGGCTCTACTCGCAGGAGGCACAACAAGGAATTGAACTCTCAACCTCTGGCCACACAGCCAGATGCCTCAAACTCTGAGCTATCGAGCCACTTAATCCATAGCAGATTTCTTCGCTGATGAGGAGGATGGCTATCCTTGACCTTATTTGCCTACTCTCACCCAAAGGGAGGCCTACCCACACTGTTAATGTCAACTTGCAAAGCCCCTAAACGCTCCAGCCCTGCCCCGGAAAGAGCTATTGAACAGAAAGGGAGGCCGGGAGGCCTCTGATGTTCATCACGTACTTCGAATTCCTCCACGCTTCCGAGCTGGATCCCAGAAACGCCTTCCTTCAGCCAGAACTCAATGGCTTCCTGAGGGATGGCAGAGGGGAGAAGAAAACAACGCAAGGTGTTAGTCCTCAGTATGTCATTTGGAACTTCGGGGTGATCCACCCCTTCCCATATATTCTAGCCAATTCACTTTGCACACATTTATTTTCCTGAAAAAATGACACTCATGTGGACCAGAAGATGACCAAGTTAAAGGAAGCCAGATTTCGTTTTAATATCAGGAAAAACGTCCTGTTAGACAGTAGAACCAGTTACCTAGGGAGTTGATGAGTGCTCCAACACTGGAATCATTCAAGAAAAACTTAGATAATCATCTCAAATATCTGGTTTGATTGTATTCCCCTTCCAACTTCACTCACTTTGATTGTATTCCCCTTCCAACTTCACCTTTCTATGACTCTATGACCTTTGAGGTCCCCTCCAGGTCCATGATTTCAATGACATTTTCAATCAACGCAATCTGAGAAGACTGTATTTCTGGTTGAAATAGGTTTTGATCATTGCCTTCCTTATTAATAAATTAATCTGAGACCCAATCTGGCCAAGACCCAATCTTGTTTTTTGTTTTTAGATCTTCTCCTTAATCTTTGACAGATGTCCAATAACAGATACATTCAGAATATGGCTCTCCTCCTCCATTTTATTCTTGCCACAGCCTTTTGAGGCAAAGGCCAGGCCGAGACAACCATAAGCTGAAAGAAGTGGATCATTCTTTCCTGGCATTTTAGTGAGTCCAACTGACAAGGTGAAATTGTGAAGATTACTTCTGGGATCAAGGGTAGTGCCACCAACCACCTCAAAACAATGAGTAACACTATGGGTTCCTTTTAGAAAAAAATACAGCCCATGCTCTGCTCACCTTCATTTTGTCCTGGAGAGCAACGTTGAGATGGATGCTCTGGTTGAACCAAGGATATTCACTCTGATAGTTGGGTGTCAGATCTAAGACAACCTTTAGGCCTGGAAAGACAGGTCACAAAAGTCAAAACATTACTCATTAATGCTCTAATACAGTGGTGCCTCGCTTTACGATTCCTCCGCATTACGACAAAACCGCATTACGACAATCTTTTTGCGATCGCAATTGCGATTGCAAAACGATGGTCTGAATAGGGGTTTTTCGCTTTGCGATGATCGGTTCCCTGCTTCAGGAACCAATTCTTTGCAAAACAACATTTTTCTAACGGCTGATCAGTGGTTTCAAAATGGCCGTTGTTTTCTGGGACGGATTCCTCGCAAGACAGCCACCGAAAATGGCCACCCTAGGGAGGATCTTCGCTGGACGGTGAGTTTCCAGCCGATTGGAACGCATTGAAGGGGTTTCAATGCGTTTCAATGGGCTTTTTATTTTCGCATTACAACGTTTTTGTTCTACAGCGATTTTGCTGGAATGAATTGTCGTAATGCGAGGCACCACTGTAACTACAATAATAATGATAATAATGTGCTATCAATTCTGGCATATGCCAACCTTCTTCAGTGTTTTTTAGTCAGTGTGTGCTCAAAAATGCTTTACCCTTCCCTTCCTCTAGGGGGAGCCCTGGGACTATGCAGCTTGCCCAAGGCTACTTAGGCTAGCTCTTCTGGGATGCCCAGCCGGGAGCTGAACCTCTGGCTTTGCACCCAGGTACCTTACTCACTGAGCTATCCAGCCAGCCCTTTAATACTCACTGGTTCCCTTCGCTGGTTTCCCAAGTGTTCTTGGACTAAAACTCCCAGAATCCTTCACCACTAGCTGAGCTGGCCAGGATTTCTGGGAGTTGTAGTCTAACAACACCTGGGGACCCAAGGATGGGAAAGCTAGCCATTAAAAGGAGGTAGCCTCAGCTCCACTTCATATTCCCTCCTTACTTTTCTTCTTTGCTGCTTGCAGGATCTCTCGGAAGTCTTCCAATGTGCCAAAACTGGGGTCAACCTCTTGGAGGTTAGTTCTATTCTGGTCGTCTTTGGGATTGATGTGAAGAGGCCCAATCACCAAACCTTTCACCTTGAGTGAACTAATATAATCCATCCGTTGCTTCAGACCTGGAACGGCAAGGAAAAAAAAAGGAAAGCGTCAGGATTTGGGGGGCGGGGGAGAATCACCCTGGACTGCCCACATTTACACTCTAAAAAGCAGGACAGAAAAAGAGGGAAGGAAGAGGGAAAAACACAGACTGGCTAATTATTAATAAGTCAGGTTTTATTTATTAATTAAATCGGGTTTGCTGGAGTGTATCACTCAGAAAAGGAACTGCATTGCATACCACAACCCCAAAAGGGGGGAAAAAACCACATGAACAGATACAGATGTAGAAACAGACTATAAATATAAATACAGTATATCTGTCACAATAGGGAAGACTTTGAACGATACTGTGCAATTGCCACAACTTCAAGGCAGCCTACCTCTCTCTATCTGGTTCTTTAGTTTCCAGAGAGGCTTGAACTGGGCCAAGGCGGTGGTTTTCACACTTTGGCCCTCTACCTCTTACAGACTACAACTCCCAAAAGCCCTTGCCACTGGACACGCCGATCAGGGCCGCTGGGAGATGGAAGTCTGAAACAACTGGAAGACCAAGGATTGTAAACCGTCAAACAGAGGATGAACTGCTGGACAGTTCGGTGGTTGAGATCTCCAGCTGCAGAGCCAGAAGTTGGGAGTTCGATTCCCCCCACTGGGCCTCCTTGATAGGGGCTAGACTAGATGATCCATAGGGACCCTTCCAACTCTGTTCTGAGATGATGCTGGTGATAACTGGAAAAACAGGGCCAATGACTGGGACTGATGGTCCCCTAGGCTTCTAATCTGAGATGATGCTGGTGATAATTGGAAAAACAGGGCCAATGGCTGGGACTGATGGTCCCCTAGGCTTCTAATTTTGCAAGGAAGTTGCTGTTCCGAGAAGGCAAGCTCTAGATTTAAGACTAAAGACTTGATTGTGCCAACTTTATGGTCTTTTATTTGTGCAGACGTGTTTCTTTGAAACTGGGCATGGCGTGTGCGTTAATAATGGCCTTTTCTGGCAAAGTAAAGCACAAACCGGAGAAACAAAGGGTGTAATCTGCCAGCATGAATTATAAACCGAGTTCCATTGTCTTTTGTCTAGTTGTGGTCACATGGCCCCCGGCTAATTCTGCTTGCTCTGGCAAGCTGGGATGTGCTTGCCGTTTGAAAACCGCGATCGGCACAGGACTGCATGAAAACTTGACTGTTTCAAACCACATTTTTCATCAGCCGTATTAGCTGTAGACTCTTGGAGCGGCTGTTCCAGAAAAGCAATTATTTCCAAAACAACGAATTGTGCAAGAGCAAAGCGCCCTCTAATTAAGCCTCCCATCTTGTGGGGTTAATTTCTTGTCTCCCGATGGCTTTCCCCTCAGCTCCCTCCAATCTTTTTTATTTTTTCCTATCGTACAACTATCCCGAGTAAAACTGGAACTAAATTAAAAGATATAGATTAATCATGAGAGTATGATTCTTTTAATGGAGCGATCCAAATTATATTCATTTGCACAGAGAAGCAAATTTCATTTATTTATAAGTTACATATGTATCCTGCCAGAATATATAATGTATCCTCCAAAACAGACCACATGGCTCTCGTCCGCCCCTTGAGAACCCCACGGGGATGGTGAAGCTGGCTTTGGGGGCGGGGGGAGCAGTATGAAGGGACCTGTATTCAAACCCATCAAGGGAGAGCACCGGCTTGGGGAAGCACCATGGAGAAATGTAGTCTCCTTCTATCACCTCGCACATGTGGAAAGAGGAAGAAGGGGAGGAAAAAACCCGAAGTGCTCTCTTTCATCCCTTTATCCAGCCGCCCTCGAGGCTGAGTCAGCGTTTCGCTGACGTCAGGAGATGATGAAACAAAGGCCAGCGGTTACTCGGGCACAAAAACCCGAAGCTGGTTGGAACCGGCTGCCTGGTGTAGGAAAGTCCGCCCGGCACAATCAGCCAGTCATTCTTTTGGAAAGGGGGGGGGAAGCGAAATAGCAGCTGATTGTCACATGTCCCCAAAGTCCTGCTGAGCGTGTCCTGGAGGAAAGATCAAAAAGGCTCCCCAGAGCAAGCCAGCAGGCCTCCTTCCTGCTCGGTGTGCGGCCAGAACTTGGCTGACTCTCTTAGGCGCTGTTGGGGGCTGGGGAGAAGAGATCCAGTAGATTAAACGCAGGGAGGCAGCCAGCCAGCCGGCCGGCTCAAGCTCTTGGAAGTATATTTCAGGGGCTTCCTCAAGTTTCACCTACAAATGATCCCTGCCCCCCCTCCCCAGCACGGGCCCATCAGTCATTACCACGTGTAGTACAGACATTCAAGGGTAGCTTTCCCCCTTAAAAAAAAAAACTGTCCTTTTAGTGTTAAGTGAGGAATTCCCTGAGCTGTGTTTAGAATTGTGAGTCATGTATAATTATGTGCTGTCAATTCTGATCTTTTTCAAGGTTTTCTAGGTACAGAGGACTAAGAAGTGCTTTTACCCTTCTCTTCTTCTGGGGGTGCCCTGGGATTATGAACCCCGAGGCCACCGAGGCTGGCTTTACTCATAGGAGGCGCCATGGGGGGGGGGATCAAACTCCTGACCTTCGGCCCCATAGACAAATATTTGACTCATTGAGCTACCCAGCCTGCTGAGTCATGTATACGAAGCACATTTGTTCCAGATTAACTAAACCATCGTGATAACACCTTTTGTATGGCATTATTATTGGGGGGGGTGCAGGGGGATGAAAAGAGCCAGGATTAAAAAAACCAGCTGAAAGCCTTTCAGAAGAAAAATGGCAGGAGGGAGTAGTGGTTAATGCTTTTAAAAAAACAGCCAGGGTGATAGCATGATCATGGCTGTTTTTTGGCGCGGGGGGGGGCTGTTTCCAGTCCACATGGTTCTCTAATGCGCCATGTCTGAGAGATCCCACTGCCCCAACGGATGGCTGTGAGGAATGGGGATGATGGGACTTGGCACTCGACACATCAAGAGGGAAAAAGAGACAGGGAGGGAGGACCCAGAAAACAGATCAGCCAAATGACACCTTTCCTCACCTGTCAGATCGCCCTGTCCGTCGGCATCGGAGTCCTGGAAGCCGTCCACCGGCTGGATGCGGTAGAGGCCCCCCTTCTGCCACCACGCCTGCTTGGGCAGGTCCTTACAGCGGGGGGCCTGGACGATGATGACGATGGCGCCCGCCAGCATGCCCAGCCACCCAAGCCAGAAGAGGATGAGGAGGGCCCAGCGGGCGCGCACCCAGGCTGGGGTGCTGGCCACCTCCAGCAGCTCTTCCTTGGAGAGGCCGGTAAATTTGGCCAGGGCGGCCCGATCCTCCTCCTCCTCCTCCTCCACTTTCAAAAAGACCACCCCGTTCTTCTCGCCGCTGCCGGGGGAGCCGGCCAAGGGGGAAGAGGCGTTCATGGGCTGCTTCTCCGTGTCCATCTCGTTCAGTTCCACGTCTTTCAGCTCCGCGTCGGGAGTTACAGCCGGGGAGCTCATGATGTCGCCTGGGAAGAGGACAGAGAGAAGAGTGATCAAAGAGGGGAGATAAAGAGGTTCCCCCTATCGAGGTTCCCTTGAGGACACCATCATTGGTTAGTACAGGACACAGAAAAACATGGGGCCTCTTTTAGAAGACAACTTCCACAACCCCCCCCCCCCAAAACCAGCAAGAGGATAAGATTTGGCAAGCCTTAAACCCAGAATCACTCGCTACACGTTGATCAAGCCAAGACATTCAAAGAAGCTCCAGGCACCTCCATCCGCTTTCCCATATCCAACATCTGGAACACAGCCGGAAGGGGCAGGAATCATCAGACAGGCTGAAACCCTGTTTTTTGGGTGGTTTTTATTATTATTATTATTATTATTATTATTATTATTATTATTATTATTATTTTAGAATTTCAGCCTTCGCCTGCCACCTTTCCTAAACATTTAGGGAGTTTGCACAGTCCAAAAACAGCCTCTGTATGCCAGGATCTCACCCCTCCCGCTGTAAAACAGCGCCCACACACATATCCCAGTCCAGACCTCCCGTGCACCCCCACCAGACACCGGGAAGGGCTACGGGCGCCCTTCCAGGGGACCCCGCGACCCGATCGATCCTTCGGGGGACCCTCGCTACCCCGTCCCACGGATCCCGGCGCCTCCCGGGCTACTCCGGTTTTGCAAACTCCAGGTAAACCGGCCGCCAAGCCGGGAAGGAACCGAACAAACCGCGTGTAAAAAAGCAAGGGACCGGGGAGGGGGGGGAAATCTTTCCTAGGCTTTCCCCAACACGACTCGCAAGGAAGCCGCGCCGTGCCCGAGGTCTACCTGGAACGATCCGCCGCTCTGATCCGCTTCGAAACCGGTTTGATCCTCCTGCTGGAAGAAGCCGGCTGGCAACCGGAGTAAAAAAAGGGGGGGAAGCTCCGCCCGGTCCCTCCCCTCCGGGGCCGAGCTTAAGGTGGAACCGAGCAAAGCCTCTAAACCGGCTGGGGAAAAAAAATAAGGCTCTCTGCTAGAAAGAACTGGGAACATTACTCTTTTTATTTTTATTTGGGGGGTGACTACAATTCCCAGAATCCCCCGGGGCCAATTGACCGGGGGATCCTGGAACTTTTAATCCCTCCCCACCCCACGAAAAAAAGTAACGCTTCCAAAGTTTGTAACTAAGGCACACTGGTAACAATACCAACCAACTTTGTTGGTGAACCAGAGTGCAACTGGGATGCAGAGGTAGACTATTCCTGACTCTGGAGGTTCTCTTTATCTCACGTGACAAAGGTCCATGAATCCACCTTTTAAAATGTGCAGGAGTTTAAAGGTTTCCCCACCCCACGAAAAAAAGTAACGCTTCCAAAGTTTGTAACTAAGGCACACTGGTAACAATACCAACCAACTTTGTTGGTGAACCAGAGTGCAACTGGGATGCAGAGGTAGACTATTCCTGACTCTGGAGGTTCTCTTTATCTCACGTGACAAAGGTCCATGAATCCACCTTTTAAAATGTGCAGGAGTTTAAAGGTTTTCCTCTCTGTAATCATACCAACCAACTTTGCTGGTGAACCCGTGTGCAACTGGGACGCAGAGGTAGACTCCTCCTGGCTCTGGAGGTTCTCCTTATCCCGCCTGACAAATGTCCATGAATCCACCTTTTTAAAATGTGCAGGAGTTTAAAGGTTTTCCTCTCTGTGATATGATGATTTTGGAAATGGTTCAGAGATGCCTTGGGGGAGACAAAAAAAAAAGACACGCATACCCTCAAGGCAGCTGGCAGAAGCTGAATGGTGAAAATAGATTAAAAGTAACTAGAGCAAGAAAAAAAAACATAGTATACAAAGGAGTTTTTGTATACATAGTATACAAAACTTTAGTATACAACAGAGTGGTTGGGCTTGCATACAACCGGGCAGTAAAAACCCATTTTAAAAGAGGGCCACGAAAAGCGATGCATGGCTTAGGAAGCGGGGTTAATAATTCATATAAAATGGGACACACACACACACCAGCGAACACCCAGCCTCCAGCTTGCCAGCCTAACTTATCTTCCTTGTAGACAAGCAAGTCTGAGTTTGGGGACTAATCCAGAGGTTTGAAATACAGTAAAATGCTTTTTGAAAACAACACAGCTCTCAAACTCCCCAGACAGCAAGCAAATTGAATATCCTGGCCAGGGTATTCTGGGAGGGCTGAAAAAAATAGGATTTTAAAGCCCAGGCCTAAATTTTAAGGCCTGGGAAGGTTTGGTGTGTACAGGTGGCCTTTATGGGGCCCTTTGCTCATCCTGTACGGTTCTGTCCTGTCCTTACCTTACATACCCCTACAGCTATTTGTGTCCAGTCTTTGTTATTCTCTTTCAAGAGTAAAAACAAGCCTTGTCAGATACAGAGGAACCCCGCAGGGAAGTTTGCTGGGAGATCAAAAGGGTCAGCATCCGTTCTCTACAATTGCAAGAAGCCACCGATTGTTCCCAGGCTTTAAATCAATGGCTTTGAACTGCAACCGCTGTGTTTTTTCTGGTGTGGGCGATGGGTATGGATCCAGACCGAGAACCTCTGCAGTAAAGCAGCAGGAAAGTTGGGTGGGATCTAAGCGTGAAGTCCGGAGATGATGGCAAGCGCTCATTTTGAATGTAGAATAAATAGATTTTACTGAGAGCTTTTTCAATCCAAATCCCCCCATTGGGAATCTGTCATTGGGACCCACCAGAAGACCCACAAGATGCTGGGCACCTTTTGAAAATCACAGATCTCTTCAACATGGGAAGCGGTTCGGAAAACAGGGTGATTTGATGTAGAAGTCGTGAAGCCTTAACACAGAATGGGAGAAAAGTAGCAGGCTTTCAGCTTTACTGGGATGGGGTGGACAGCTGGTTTTTCCATTCTTCTACACGCATGTAACATAGTAAGACCTTTGGTTTGCGGGGCGCAAGTAGAAAACCAGCGCAGATGATAAAGCCTTGCATTTTTATTCCATGATGTGCTATTTTTCTGCTTGCAGAAAGAGACTATTTTAAAGGATTTTTTAAATCCTCTATGCAGCTTGGCCTCCTGCCTTGTTTTGCTGACCCCAATAACCAAAGTCAGTGGAGTCTACGTTGAGTTGTATGTCATTCAGAATATAAGGCAATCCATGCCCGATTCAGGCTGAAGGCCCATCTGGTCCAATGATCTGTTCATATGGTGGCCTGTTCAGAGTGTGTCCCCAATTGATAACAGGGGCATAGTGAATATTCCCACCATTCTCTCTCTAGTACTAGAGGTGATATATAAGCATCCTGACTAGTTAAGCATTGATGGCCTTAACCTCAATTAACATGTCTAATTGTCACCTTTTAAAGCTATGCAAGACTGGGGCCCATCACCGCATCCTCTGGCAGAGATTTCCATCCATTAATAACAAGATTGCATTGAGAAATACTTCCTCATCTGGTCTGAATCCCAGCCAGTTTCAATAGAAGACTTCAAATTCTAGCATTTTGAGAGATGCACTTTCTGTTTTTCCTACAACATACATAACCCGGTAAATCTTGTGCTACACCTTCCTATCCAACCTTCCAAAATGAACATTTTTAATTACCACTTGCTAAGATTTCATAGCCATAATATCTGACCTAGTTTTTAATCTTATTATTTAGATAAAATAAATAATTTTGCCTACTCCCATGCCTTGTTTGTTTCTGTTTTGACACTTTAGTAGGCTGTCCTACTTTGGGCACATCATGAGTGTTTGTTTCTGTTTTGACACTGTTTAGTAGGCTGTCCTTTGGGCACATCACGAGAAGTCCGGGTTCTCTGGAAAAGGTTGGACGCAGCAGGAAAAGAGGAAGACAAAAGGGACTTATTCCCTAGAGGAAGCCACAGGCTCGTATCTATTTAAGAGAGCTAATTCATGGGTTCGCCATTAGTCGGGGACAACTTGATGGCATGCAACAACGACAACAGCAACAGCTTATGGAGAACTCTGGAGGACTCCAAAGCTTGCACACTTTTCTGAGCTGTTCACTTGATCCTAACAAAGGGTTCGGCCAACTGTGGATTTTGTTTTTAACTCGAGGATCAGCGAAGCTAGTCAAAAGGAGTGGAGTTTTCTCTGTAGTTCTGCTGTAGTTCTCGCCCCTCCTCCTAATGTCTTTTCGGATGCTACCAACAGTGGCTTGATCACAAATCAGTCAAGCCCCATGAGGCCAGATAAGCTGATCTTGATATCCTTTGGAAGAAGAAAGGAAAAAAAAATATTTATCTCTCTCTCTCTCTCTCTGAGATTTCCTTTGGAAGAAGAAAGGAAAAAAAACATATTTATCTCTCTCTCTCTCTGTTATTCTGGTTCCTCCACCTTAAACTGGATCGCCTGACTCAGCAAAGCTTCCCAAAGCTTTCAATCCCTCTGTGTCTCTCTCTCTCTCCTTCCCTCCCCCTGATTTTCATTGCAAGACGGGTAAACAACTCTCTAGCCAGCAAAGACTGAAAGCACCTTGACCCTTAGAACTGAGGGGATTTGACCCTTCCTGCAAAAAATAACAATAAATAAAAACCAACATCCATGCTTTGAGATAGGCCAGGAATTTCCTCCTCTGCCCCAAGACACAATGTTTTTTTAATCTGTAGTTCGCTTCAGGCCTATTAAAGTTTGTTGGAAACCCGAGGGCGAGAGACATCAACTGGGCAACGAAAAGGTGATTTGCGTCTGCTGATACCGAGATACCACCCACTTGCAAAGACTTTATCATTTTCATCTAGTTTGGGGGTTTATTCCCTATTAGCCGGACAGTGTGAGTGCCCTGCTTTGAATGTACTGTCATGGAGAACCTATTGAATACTGGAAAAAAATTATTGCAACCACCACCTCAAAACAGGGAAACAAACAATTAGACAAGCAAATTTATACTATCACTCAGATAGTAACCATATTTAGTTGGTAGAAATTCCTATTAATTGTATCTTATTATAATGTATACAGGATGGCAACCTTAAGAAACATGCATAGAAATTGTGTGTGCAAATATACTGCCCAGAATTAATCTATTGTACATTTATCATCACTAACTGTTCCCATTCCAGAATGCCTTGTTTAAAGTTTAAAAAAAACAAAACTTTCCTGGTCCTATATTTCTCCCATTTTTTAACCCCTAGGATTGCCACTTTTTCCTTGTTCTTGTTTCCTTCATAGCAGCCCCCTCCACAAGCAAGCATTCTCAAATACACCATTTCCAAGATAAATGTCTACATATTCAGCAGCAGAAATAAACCTAGCTTTTTTTTAAAGCAGCAGGCGAATTGTGGGGGATTTAATTTGCGCTGGAGCTGAAGTGCTGGTTTCGGCATCAAATCTCAGCTTGAGCAAAGCACTTGTTCTTTTTTCCTTAGTAGCAGCCCCCTCCACAAGCAAGCATTCTCAAATACACCATTTCCAAGATAAATGTCTACATATTCAGCAGCAGAAATAAACCTAGCTTTTTTTTAAAGCAGCAGGCGAATTGTGGGGGATTTAATTTGCGCTGGAGCTGAAGTGCTGGTTTCGGCATCAAATCTCAGCTTGAGCAAAGCAAAGGGCCTCGAGTGAGTGCAGAGTGCATGTATATGACTGTCATGGTGGTCCTTGCTCACCATGAGGACTAGTCACTTGGATGAGAAGAGGCCTGAGTAGGAATCTCCAAACATTTAAGAAGAAAAGCGCGGGACCTCAATAGCTAATTTTGTTAAGCAAGTGGGCAGGGAAAGCTTGTAGGCAAGGGCCTCTTTCTCTGGAAATTCACTTCCCTTCTTCTCAATCTGCAATCATCTTCCACCAGTCTCCAAATTAAAATTTTGGACCAGTTTCGGCATGTATTCTGCCCAGTTGGGAGGAGGAGAGTCGAAAGGCGGAAACCTCAAAAAGGATGGTGCCTCCTTCAAGACAGGCAAGAGTTCCACGTGCTTCTTGCCCCACGTTGCCAGGCAGACGGGGAATGTGCCAGGCTGACAGGCCAGATCTTGCTGCCCCTATAAAGACGCGGGCTTTGTGCCAGCTGGAACCCTATCTCTGAAATCCTAGCGGAGCGCTTGGAACACCTCATAGCTGGGGTAAATGTGGGCC